TATATATATTGTTAAACGAGTCAACAAATTATACTTTCTGAACAAAAAATAGCTTATAGACAGAACTGTATTAGTTACAGTATTTAGAAGAAGAACAGAGAGAAAGAAGAAATATTATTACCAGTACAACAATGTATGGAAGCTAAGATTATCGTGAAGAGATCTAAAATCAGCCACGAGGAATTCACCCCTGGTTATGGTGCCGGTTTTGTCGAAGGCCATGATCTTTACTCGAGCGAGGGTCTCGAGATGCTCGGCTCCTTTAACTAGGACTCCGAATCTTGCTGCTTTGGAGAGGGCACAAAACATGGCGACCGGCGTGGATAAGAGAAGAGGACATGGGCAGCCACTAACCAAAATGACTAGGGAGAGATGAAACCACTGTTTCTTATTGTGGACTGGGAATGCAACCGGGACAAGGGCCAGAGAAGTTGATATCACCACTATGGCTGCATATGAATTTAAATAAAGTTAGAATCCATTTTATAAGTAAATAGTGTATGGTGACCGATTATGTTTTTTGCCGTAATTTGGTCTACAAATTTTATGTTTAAACTCGACTTTTATTCCTTGAATTTTTCGTTTTTCATGTTTTTCGGCAGAGAAAAATTACACGTTATTGCGCTACCCTCGATGGTTGGAAATTCGGAAGTGTAGTAAAAATTTGTCTTGGTGTGCAGAAAATTACAACAACTACTTGCAAAATGGCAAAACAGTACATGGTTTTAAGGAGCACAAAATCCCTACATTACATTAGCAAACATGAAGGACAAACTTTAGGCTACATTTGTTTTGAGGGATTTGAAATCCCTTGATTTTTCAAAATTTTTGAAATATAAATTCTTTACTTGCGCTTCAATGTGTTGAAAATATTATAAATCAATTATGTAGCTCGCACCGATGGTGTTGACTCGCGGTAGTGATGAACTTAAGTGATCGCGGACGGCGTGGTCGTCAACGGTGATAAACAGTGAATTTCAAATGACTGGGTTTATGAGTCATTTAAAATCCATCAAAATAATGACTAAAACATATCTAGCATGAATTTGAAATCCTCCAACTTCCATTACCATCCCAACATTCATGGAGATTTGAACTTGTAAATTTAAAATTTATAAATTTCAAATCCCTCAATAAATCCTTCAATCCAAATGTAGCCTTAATGTTTTTTACTTCTGTCCCAAGGGGTTTAGTTGAGAAACCTACAACTAAGACTAGTAAGTAGAAAATAACCCAGTTATCTTTCACAAATACACCTTAGTTTTTGCATGTCTCTCAAAAGCAACCTTAAAAGGGGTGTTTGTAGTATAAATACAAACCTCAAAGTGTGCATGTTCAGATTCAGAACAATGGCATAAGTGAAAAATCCCTAGATTTAGACCTAAACAAACACTTAACAAAACTAAAATATTCTTATTTCATTAGCATAGCGGAACATGGGCTTTATCATGCAAAATACTTGGAAGGTTCGCTCACCTGGCGTGTAGTATTTGGCACACTTATCTATAATTCTCTGAGTTCTCGATTTCTTGTTTTGAGCATCTTCCACAAGCTTCGCCATTCTCGCCACCACACAATCTTCAGCCATCGATGTGGTTTTAACCGTAATATACCCTGAAAAAATATACGCGTGTAAGAAAAAAGTTTTTTTTTTCTCTTTCTTAACCATCACATTGTCACTAAGTTACTGATTAGTGAAAAACTTTGCACTGATTGCCTTTTTACCATTGAGATTGATAGTGCTGGCCCAGACAGTGGACTCTTTTTGCTTTGAAACAGGAAACGACTCTCCTGTTAAAAACTTCTCGTCAACTTCACAATTACCATCTACAACTACCCCATCTATAGGTATGACTTCACCAGCCTTCACGGCTAAAACGGTGTTTAGTTTGACTTCATCAGCATTGACTTCTTCGCCTGTATCGGCTAGGACTGCTCTTTGGGGAACCACAGTGGCTAATGATGACATCACCGCAGTTGCCTGAATGGAATTATTTATTATTACAAGGAAAGATAATGTAATCTATAATTAAATAAATACTATAATTTTGACGGTTTTGCTGTGAAGCCAACAGTTGGCTCCATAGTGGAGCCAACCTTCTATATATAACAACAAGTAAATCATACCATATTATAGTATTTATTTAAGTAATATAGAATATGGTATTACTTACTTGTTGTATATAGAAAGTTGGTTGGCTTCATAACAAAACCGTTCAAACTACTTTACTTGATTAGGAATTATGATGAATCAAGGAGAATATTATATTATGGTTTAGTATAGTAGTACATGAACGTGTCGTTTTTTGGTTGGCAGGAGTGAAAATCTGACTATTGTTACATAAGACTAGTATTCATAAATTGTAATTTTAATCCACTATTCTAACTTTTTCGTCCTCTTCAAATTGCGCTTTTTATTTCCATCTCGTATGTTTGCAAAAATGTTACAAAAACGTCTTTGCAAGACAGAAAGGACCTTTTTGTTGCGAAAAAGACCTTTTTGTGACCTTTTCGCAAATATACGGGACGAAAATAAAAAACACAATTCAAAGAGGACGAAAAAGTTAGGGTAGTGAAACATATAGGACTAAAATTACAATGTACTCTATTCAGTTATGCTGTTGTCAGGGGAAGACCTTATGACTTGCTCTTGACTCTAGCCACTCTGCTACAGTAAATAGGAAAACAATAGTTGCAGCTTCCCAGTAATCATGAAGGGCAATTGACCCTGAAACTGAAAATTGGAGTACGATTTTGTTACGGAATAATATATATATATGATAGATATATACTGTAAGTCACCTGTCTTGATGAAAATGTATTACAATTGACATATAGTGTAGTAAATTAGTAAGAATATGCATACCTGCGATCAAAACAAGAATATTGATGTCGATGGTGAGATTGCGAAGTGAAGCAAGAGCCTTGAGAGTGATGGGCACAATCCCAACAGCTATTGCACCTATGGCTAGCCATCTAAGAGGGCTGTAAAAGTACTTCAAAAATGAGAGCATTAGTAGTAAACCACTTATGACAGCATAAGGGCTCGGCCATTTGTTCTTGTAGCTTGTTTTGCCGTATGCTCTGATGTTCGCCTCTAGCCTAGCTTGGTTCAGTGCCTTAACTGCGCCACACAACAGCATTCAAATTAAACCCAAAGCATGAAAAATAATGGTGTGCATGAAAATGAAGTCCCAATAAGTTGATTTTACAAAAAAGAAAAAGTCAAAATAAAAAGAAGCCAAAAAGTTATGTACTTTGAAGCGGAAAATATTATGCACGTATTTAGGAAAGCCCAATTCGATTTAGTTTTCAAACATGTCACGAAATTAGTGTACAGTACTCTTGGACCGAATTGCAATCTCAAAAATATATTGTATATTTTGGAGTTGGCCAGAATTTGAGGATGCTTTTGCGATTATCCGAATGGTTAGGCTGACTTTCGGGCAAGCAGTCCTTGGATCGAATTCTATGAGCATGTTTGTGTGAACTGTTTCCAATTTATTGACAGAAGTGTGAGCACATACGCAATAAGAGCGAATGAGTGTGAAAACTTGTGTGTGTTAAGTATAATGGGACAATTAAACCTGAGAAGCACCCATTATCTGGTTATTGATTGTAATAAATATTAATTTAATGATAAATTTTAATAAATGTTAAAATTGATTAAAAATAAAATAACAATGTAATTATGTAAACATGTTAAAATTAAATATAGCAATTCCAAATTAAGCTTGACAAAAATATAAAAATACTAAAAAGTAATAAAAATCAAGTATTTCGGCTGTAACCGATATTTTTCAATATGAAAACAATATTTTTTCAATATATTGTAAAAAAATGGTATTTATAAGATTATCATACCGGTCGAACTATCGATATCTAGTGCTACTAGTAATATGGAATGGTGTTGTACAGTTTTGAAAACATTAATTAGAAGTATAAATTGAACATTTTTGGACGCCACGATTTGTTAGTAAGTATCAATAACTTTTTTAACCCATGCTGTGCTGAATTACACATAAAAATATTAAAAACATGGCCACCCTCGCATGGGACAAAAATCCGGAAAACCTGAAACTATTCGGTGCACACGTCATGTGCTCTGCTCAGCAAGCTCTCAAAAGAAATAAAACAAATAAATATGAAAAATAAATATTAAAAGGAATATCAATAACTTATATCCTGTAATCTCATGATGAATTCTTATATTCACTTCCAACCGTTTTCTTCTAATTAATATATATAACTAATATATATATATATATATATATATATATATATATATATATAATGGTATCAACTACTAGGAAAAATATTAATCTCATCCTATATATACATGTTGTATCCAGGACAAGTAATTTTTAAGCATTGGTCCATTATCCATTGACAATATTTTATCCTTAATTTAGCCCAGTTTTGATCGAGATTACGTTTATTTTTCATGTTTCTGGCGCATAAATTTGTAATCTCAAATATTACACATGCCAATTTTTTGCTCATATGAAATCCCCTATATCTCTTTAAACTATATTCTCGTCAAAATTAAGATAAATTGGCAACAATTAGTCGGACCTAATATCATAATTAAAGATTTTGGACCACACGTCAACAGAAAAGTGGCTACTTAGAAAATTGTCCCTAAAAAGGATTTCCAAAAATTGAATTAGTACTAAATCAACACATTTTTTTGTGTGTGTGGAAATTAAGTGTGTTTGGCTCGTCTTATTATTTTAAAAAAAATCATATTTATATTTTAATATGTTATTATTTTATTGATAATTATTTTTTAGAATATCACATTTCAATATAATAAAAGCTATATAAGTTGAAAAAAGTGTAACTGCGCAATAGTTTGGTCTCTCTAACATGAGTATTAGTGTATGACTGTGAAATGAACTTATGATTAAAGATTTATGAGAGATGGTTATAATCTACATACATACCTATTTGAATCTGGGATGTGATGAGAGAATCGTGAACGACAATCACTGTCTTGGTCGGGACTATAACGGAAAAGTCCTTAACGCCGTCAAGCGAATTGAGTATCCTCTCCACTAACGGAACTTCAGATGAACAGCAAAGTCCCACCACGTCAAAATAGCTTTTCTGAAACTTTCTCTCACCACTTTTGTCAGTGGACTCCATTTCTCAAACTTCCTCTGCACAAAAAACTTCAAAATTACATAATCTCGTGCGCCAAATTATACCAGAGAAGCAAAGACAAACAACTCAAACATTAACAAACACATGCCTACAAAACAGTTTTCTGTCTCAATCTGCACGAGTGTGCGGTGTTCTAATCTTACAAAAACAGTTTCGATGGTAAAGCTAACCCTTTTTTTTTTCTCTAACGAAAGCTGCTTGAAGCTAAATTCCTATTTAATTACGGTTTAGTTAAAATTGATGTAAATAAAAAGGAAAATGAAAAAGCGCGCGGCCGTTGGTGTAGATTTTGATAGAAATTATTCCTGGGATTCTTACTAACACATATCAGGTAATGTAAGAGAATAATTCTCCACACCTCCTAAATTGTCTTTGAGGGGATATAAATAGCGTGTGAAAGTGCGAAACTGGAATCCACGTGTGCTATGCACTTTAAAATAAGTGTGCAAAATTTACCTAGAAAATATATTTGTAGGTAAGGCGTGGTACTATTTACCGTCCCCATTTTACTAGTTACTGCTTCTTTTGAACGATTTTGCCCTTTTCATTTTTTCTAAACATCTCAGAGGAAAGTACACGGTGAAATGTCGTCAAATTCGGAGGTACGAAAAATGTTGTGTCCGGCCGCCGAAACCGGACGGCTTTTAGCCCGTCCGGCCGCCGGAACCGAACGGTTTTTAAGCTGTCCGGCCGGCCGGTTCGGACGGGCTAAAAGCCGTCCGAAAAGTTCGGCCGGTCGGAACCGGTCCGTTCGGTTCGGCCGGTCGGATAATTTTTTTTTTTTAATTATTATGTTATATATTCGAAATAATTATGTTATAAATTGGACTATATTATTATGTTATAAATTATTACGTTACATTTTAGACTTGATTATGCTATAAATTGGACGTTTATCGTGTTAGGAGTTACAAAATATTATGTTACATGTTGATTATAATATAAATTGGACGTTAGATATTATCGTGCTACGAGTTAGAAATTATTATATTACATGTTAGTCTTGGTTATGTTATAAATTGACGGACGTTAGATAGTATCGTGTTATGAGTAACAAATTATTATGTTACATGTTATAGTTGATTATATTATAAATTGGACGTTAGATATTATCGTGATCGTGTTAGAAGTTACAAATTATTGTGTTACATGTTAGACTTCATTATGCTATAAATTGGACATTAGAAAATATCATGTTATGAGTTACAAATTATTATGTTTACATGATAGAATTAATTATCTTAATTTAAAATGTTCTAAAAATATAAATATTGTACTATATAGCAGGAGTCATGGGAAGATTTTGGAGGAGATTGTGTTGATTACAGTCTGCGTTTCGATACTTGTACATTATATAATAGTGCTCAGGACGCTATTGAAGTTGCAAAACACCAGACAATGTTGAATGGTTTCCAATTAAAAATTTCGAACCACAAAAAGAAAACGGTCAGACTTTTGAAATGCCATAGAGGCGAACGGTACAGAGGCACAGGCGGAAATTCTAGAAAGACAAAAACGAATAAGTGCGGCTGTAATTTTGAGATCACCGGCGCTCCATACTGGAGGATCTGTAGATGTAGCAATGAAGAGAAGGGCTACCATAACCATACATTTGCTGTGTATCCTGAGGGTCATCGCCAGTTGAGCGGCCTCAGCGCTTCATCTAAGAAAATTATTCGTGATATGACGGACGCTCAGGTGGCCCCGGCAAAAATTATGGCCGCGCTGAAGGAAAAGAATCCGGGAGACAACGTTCATGTGCGACAGGTATATATATTTATATCTTGTAATATATGTTTTAATTAACTTTTTGAAGTTAATTATTATAATTATTAATTATTTATATGTAAAAGTTGTTGTAATAATTAATAAATTTTATTATATTTACTAATGTATTATTATTGTGATAGTTAATAACTTTTTTATCAAATTAATCGCATTAATATACTTTTGTATTTATTAATATAATATTTTTTTGTTTTAAATTATAATAATCATTATAATTAACGTTAATCGGTGATAGGTATATAACTTTAGAGATAAGTTGCGGAAAGAGAGTTTCGACGGTAGAGACGTTCCTTCCCAGCTTATGCATTTGGCCGTGAGCAGCGAGTATACAGTTTATGCAGAATCTGATCCGAACACGAAAGCGTTGACGCATATATTCATGGTCCGTCCTGCGTCGATCAATCTATTCCAGACATATCACTGGTATGTCGGCATAGATTCCACGTATAAAACCAACATGTATGTTACTTTATAAATACTTTATTAGTATGAATCTTAAATAGTGTGTTTGATTTAGTAAACTTTTATTTGATTATATTTTTTGTCTTGGTCTCATTTGCACAGGTACAAGATGTCGTTGGTCGAGATGATTGGGATGACACCGTGCAACCAGAACTTCCTAATTGCGTATGCGCTCATCAGGGACGAGAAAGAGGCCAGTTACGACTGGGTTCTAGAGAAGTTGAGACTGCTGATAGGCCAAGACGTATATCCTTATGTTGTTGTCAGTGACAGGGAGTTGGGTTTACTCACTCCTATTCAGAGGCATTTTCCTGAATCAGCCCACTTACTCTGCACGTGGCACATCAACAAGGATGTGGAAGCCAAAACCTACCAATTATTTGGGAAGAGTAAGAAATTCTCGGAGATTTTCACGCATATTACGTGGAAGGCGATTGCAGAGGCCAGTACGTTCGATGCCTACACCGATGCCGTTGCCGAGCTGTACGCAAAATATTCGAAGTCCCCAGAGGTGATACGGTATGTGGAGGGCACATGGTTAGGGCACCGCGAGAAGTTTGTGAAGTCTTGGATCAACCGGGTGACACATTTTGGAAACACAACTTCCTGTAGGGTGGAGAGTGCCCACTCTGTTTTGAAGGAGTGGCTTCAGACGTCCACCGGCGCGCTCGATATAATTTGGCAGAAGATTAATAAGCACATCGATAATCAAGTGACTGAAATCAAGTACGTACTGCAATTTTTAAATGCGTTATTATATTACTGCATTAATTAATTATAATATAATGTTATGTAACGTATTATCAGGACGACGCTTGAGGCCTCGAGATCTAAGAAGAATACACGGTATAAAGGAATCCTTTTCGCGAGCGTGATACTGAGGGTCTCGCATTACAGTCTGAGTTTATTGGACGCTGAGCTTACGAGGATGCACGGCTTGGACGCCGATATTTACACTAGCTGCGGCTGTGTATTGCAGCTCACTCATGGACTTCCTTGTGCCTGTCTGCTCCGTAACGCAATTGATTTCAACATTCCGATTGATCTCGGAATGATTCACCAGTTCTGGAGAACGCTCCAGATATTAGAGCCAGGTAATTTAAGGTTAATGTTTTATTTATAATTTTCTATTAAAATACATTATTTGGTTTAATTCATTGACTTTTTTATCATATACTTTTAGGGACTGGTCATCAGAGCCAAGCGAGCCAGGCTGCATGGTCAGATGCGGAGTTCTTTCAGACGCTTGTGAGTGAGGTTGAAACCCGCGATCCTGCGACGATGCGGTACGTGAATCAGTTCATGTACAGTCATCTTTACCCAGACCAACAGGATTATGCGGAACCTGAGGTTAAGGATAACCCGCGAAGTCGTCCCAAGAAAACTAATTCAACTAAGTGTAAACCATCTGCTTTTGAGTACAACGATAGATCGCGAGGTCGAAAATCGAGCCGTACGACCAATTCTTCGCGTGGACAGACAAGTTCGTCTTCTCAACAGTCACAAGGGGATGAAGGTCATACATTTTTTTTTTAAATATGGTTGAGCGTTAATTAAAGTATTTATATGATTATATAAATTGTGACGTGAAATTATTATGATATTTATTGCAGAGTTTAGACCGACAAATATATTTGGATTTTCAATGTGGCAATCAATCCCCTGGAATATGTTGGACTACATAGTGAGTTACCTGAATGTGGATGCGTATGGTAACTACGAATTTCGGGTCATCGCGAGTCACATGTATGGTCACCAGAAGTACTGGGCAGAAGCAAGAGACAGCATTGCGAAGGAGGTCAACAGCCACCGTGAATTGTACGAGTACATCTATTTTAGAGATATCGAGGCCGGTCTCCGTCGCGTAAGGTGGGGCAAGGGCCCTTGTGGACGGACTCACTGGTTCAAAGTTCCGCAGGACCTCTACGCTGTTGCGACCCTATTTAATGTGGTTGTCGTTCATTTGAGCTCTGGTGCACAAGGTGGGCAGCACGACTTATTCAGCATCACAGTGTTGCCTCTCATTGCACGATCATCGGCTAGAGGACCATGTCGTGAGATTGTCATTTGCCATCTTAGTACAGTAGAACACTACATTCGTTTAGATTTGACTGATGATTGTCCATTACCGCCTATTCATTCCATGTGGTTCCGTTACCGAGATCAATCGGTTGTGGGTTGGTAGGATCAGTACCAGTCTAGGTTGCGATTGTGGTATACTGTTCAAACAAAACCTTCTTGAATAAAAGAACGATATTATTCACTTGTGGTATGATGCTTCTCATTCAACTTAAGTTTAGCAAATAAGAAAAAATAAACCATTCAACTTAATGATTTATAATCAGAAAAAAAAAAAAAATCTCATTCAACTTGTCTCGAGCGCCGGAACATACGTTCGTGTTATAGGGCAATCGAAAATCGCATTAATGGTACTTTTTTTTTCATTTTTAATATAAACCATTTAACTTAAATTTTTACAAATAATAAATAAAAAAAAAATCATTCAACTTAATGTTTTACAATAATAATTAAAAAAAAAAACATTCATTACATCATTATTGGGCATTGTCGTAATCCAACTTAAACTTAGCAAAATATTCTTCGACTTGCGCTGCCTTCGGACATTCAACAAGAAACTGCTGCATGGTCGATGTAATGCTCAAAAGACGGTCCACCCACTAAAAAAATAGAAGAATAAAAAGATAAGACTAAAATTTATTAAAAAAAAATTATTGTAATGAAATAACATTAATTAAAATTTAGTAACCAACTTACATAGGCGGTATTGACACGCGTTGGGACCTCGCTCTCGTCCGGCAGCTCCTCGCCCATGAGAGCCGGATGGGAAACCCGACTGTACCACTGCAAGTAATCCTCAGTCGCCTCCCCCCAATCCTGTGTGGTGGGGATCAACATACCGGTGTTGACTGTCTCAGAAATCAGGAACTGGGTCCAGGCACCTACTGCAGCAGCCTCAAAATGCTCAACCTTGTAGTTCCTAGACTCCCAAGCACGTACTGCACTTATTGGCGGGTATGTAGGGGGAGGGACAGTCTTGACATACCCCAACTGACGCAGAGACCGCGCAGACAAGTACGGCTCGACGACATCGCGGTATCGAATCAATCCGCTATAAAGAGTCCTCGGCTCTATCGCATATGGGCTGGAGCTGCCGTATGCCAACCATTGCACCTGTTCACAATTGCATAAGAGCATTTATAAAAATAATTATATTATTTTAAATAAAGGGTAACTAAATTTAAATAAAATAACTTCACGTACATTGGAGGCAGTGAGTCTGTCGAGGCGCCGACTGATGGCTGTGAGCCGATCGTCTGACCGTGGCGCATTCCCTACGCTCCACGAGCGTGATCGTGCGAGACAGTTAGGACCGATGGGTAGACGCCCCCGGGGTCGGAAATCGGGGAAATACTCATATATCCAAGACTGCAGAAGAGTCAAGCAGCCCGACATCTAGGCAGAGTCCCCTCGGCTGGCAATACCTAGCTGTCTGTACATGTATGCCAGTGTAATTGATCCCCATGAGTAACCCCCAATCAAATCCAAGCCGTCGAGCACCTCGTGCAGGAGCTTGGGTGTCACTCTACTACCACTCTTGTCGACGAACAATGTGGTAGCCAGCATCACCCACATCCAGGCACCCGCCTCATCCCTAGCCGGCCGGCCTTTCCCCCCGAATGCCCCCAAAATGGCGGCTTTGGACACCGAACCACGCTGCCAGAACGAACTCATGAGTTCGCCCTTGGTGACCGAAAGTATCGACATGCAGAGCTCATGGCAGGCGTCCGAATCTGGGTCCTCAGCGACCACGGCTCCCTCCACAGGAACGCCCAAAATGGCCCGGACGTCGTGCAGCATGATGCTCATTTCACCAAAAGGCAGGTGAAACGAGTTAGTATCTGGCTGCCATCGCTCCACAAACGCAGAAAGGAGTGGGGTGTCCAAGTGGATGTGCATGGAGTCGGCCAAATGTGACAGCCCGATCTGGTCGAGAAGAGCTCTCACATCGGAAGATATCTCTTCACGCCAAGCCTTCAAATTCTCGATCGCTCTCAGTCTGTTGTGGAATTTCAGCGGCCCACTCAAATCTCCACTCCACATGCGGGAGGCGACGTGCCCTAAACAGTTAGGGATGACACTCCAATCAATGGGCCCACTGGCCACTGGGCCTTTAACGATCCAGGGTGCATCATCATCGGTCCTAGCTCGTTTGCTAGTACCTGCACTAAAATACAACATATCTGTATATATTGACTTGCTGGCAGATGCATTAAATAAAATATATTTAATAAAACATATTTCATAAGTTTCCCGTTCTTTTTCTTTTCAATTAATGTACAAACGCTACATTTTACATTAATAAAATATAATGAAAATTTTAAACTAATTTATTATGTAACATTACTACTAATTGATTATAACAATAATAAAAATAATTATAATAATTTTCTAACTAATTAATTGTATGGTTCCTCTAAATTACAAAATAATTATACCGTAGTTGAGGAGCAGGCCGATAATACTTTTCTAACAGTACCGATAATTTTTTATGATTAAGTGAAAATAATTTATGTTAAACAACAATAAATACGTAAATTATTTACCTGACGAGGATGTAGATGGGCCAAAACGCCCCCCAGCCTGTCGTTGAGGAGCAGCCTGTGTAGGATGAACAGCCTATACCGGACGAACTTGCTGTAGAACTGGCTGTACCGGATGAATAGGCTGTACTGGAGGACGAGGGTGGCTAGGACCCGTAGGCTGTGCGTGGTCCTGATCATCTGAGGAGTCGTCCGAGTCACACTCCTCTGAACGCTGCTCCCTTTCGCCGTACGATTCATCAGCATACCCTGACCATAGGGTAATGGTACGCGTGCGCGAGGAGGTATCGACTTCCCTGCGTAGCGGGGAAAAGCATATCGCGACTGATCGTACGGTCCTGGTGCCGGGGGCATCGAACTGCCTGCCTGACCAGGATAATAAAATCCATGCGCACCGTACGGGAGGACTCCGTGGAGTCGCGAACTATCTGGCTGGCCCTCAAAATGATATCCCTGCGGACCATCTCGCACTAGTGCGGGGGGTCTCGAACTCTGCCTAGCCTGACGAATCCGTATCCTCCGAGCTTCATCGATCATCGCCTGCCTTTCCATGTCACTCTCCCGACGAACGGACGCATTGACACCCCGACTTCTAGTGTGTCGGGTGCCAGAACCATCATAATAGTCATCGAACGCCTCGTCGTCGTCCCTGACATTAGATTGTCCAGGTCTGCCAACACCCTGAATCAAAAATATAATTATTAAATTTTTCCATATGTAATGACTATTCTAATAACTATTACAATAGATTATAATTTATTTTTATTTTAATATATAAATTTTATTCATTATTATTATATTACAATTGTTGAGATTTATAATAGTTATTATAATTTTTTATTTAAATTATTATAATTAATACTAATTTATAATTATTATTATATTTAATTAAAATTATCATTACAAATTATTATTATTATTTCTTATAATATTATTATTATAAGCATTTATAATTTATAATTATTAATATTATTAATATTATTTTTAGAATTTATAATTAATTACAATTTATTCAACTTATTATTATTATAATATTTAATAATTATTATTATAATATATAATTATTATTATAATTTATAATTGTTATTATAATTATT